ACGCTCGCCAATGTCCGGTTCGAGTGGACGGCCGATCGGAGTGTGCGGCTGAAGATTAGGGACAGTGTATTGACCTTCAGCACATAGATGAACACCAACACTCTTACTGAGCCAACGTTCCAACCGATGCTTGCGTTCGAAATGACTCATGCATAGTATTATACGTGCGGATACCGATGTAAATAGTCTGCGAGAACGACTAGCAATGACTTGTGATGCGAGACGACGAGCAACGATAACCCCGAGCCTACTATCTATGTGATCCACTGTCTCGGTCGAGAATGCAACGACGGATACAAATACAGCTCATGATTAGGTCGTGATAGATTCCAGCACTTCAAGCTTTCCGATAGCTCCTCTCGCCGCCGTCCACGCTCGAGTCGCGACTCTCCTCCGGGACACGGCCCGCCGCCCACGACGGCATGTGCACGCCCTCCTTCGACGCGCCCGCGTCCCGCCTCTCCTCAACGACGAGGCTGATCGTGCGCGTGCGGAGGCGCATCCGCGTCGCGAGTTCGTCCGGGTCGTGCAGCAGCGTCTGCGGGAAGCGCAGCGAGTCCGCGCCGTCTGCGCCCGCCTCCGCGTTCTTCTCCGCGTGGTCCTCGTCCGCCAGCGGCGGTTGCCGCTGCGCCTCGGAGTGGATTACGAGGAACTCCTCCGGCATGAGCACCGCGCGGTCGAGCGCGACGGGCAGGCCGCGATGCCGCCCGCGGAGCATGACGGCGCAGACGATCAATTTCGAAAGGGTGTGCATGTCGCCCGACAGGGAGTAGTTGATCTGGAGTTACGTGAGCATCTAGGAGCTGGTATGAGGCGTTCAAACAAACGTTTGGGATCCCGAGAGACAGGCCAACTGTGCCATAGGCAGAGACGAGCTCAAAGACTGGGCGCGATCAGCGATCGCCCGAACGGTTGAGCACAGTGACATGACTTACTGAGGGCGAATATGTTGAAGTACGACTGTTTGCTTGCATCTGTGAGGCTTTCGCGCTGAGATCCATACGAGTAAGCTTCTTGTCAACACCAAGCCCCGACAAGCAGCGTACCTCTATGATACACAAAAGGAATAGCGAAACAGCGAGCCACCACATGTCTGGTAGAACAGAACGTTTGAGTGTCTGACTTTCTATGGTGCTGGATCATGCACGTACCGAAGGACAGTTGCCTCCGCGCGTGTCGGGCGAGGTAGCGGCCCCAGATCGCGACACGAGACTCCGAGGGCTGGTTCCAGAACGCCTGGTCGTTGATCTCATCGTACTCGGATTGAACCTCGTAGACCCCAAGAGACTTCTCTTCGTACACGTTCGTAGCACGGACACTGCCCGATGCGGAAGTGTTGAGAAGACTCAAGGGGGAGTGACAGGGCGCTTCACCTGAAGAGGTGTGTACGTACCTCATGGCTATTGGGTAGATCGCGATGTACATCATGATGACGGACAGGACCCTGAGTTTGACGGCGTCAGTTTACGCAAGATGACGATCGGTGGAACGAAGGAACGCACTGCACTGCAGGCATGAGGGAAGACATCGGTATGGGCTGGTACCCTGCGTTCCTACAGGCAGCTGAGTCCAGTATGGCATCAATGAACTTGATTCCGAAAGGCAAGGAGTTTGTCGCGGGGTTCCCTATATCGAGCACAAGGTAGAACAGCAGATTGGTGAAACTGCGGATAAGAATGAGTGTCTCGGATCAAACTCTCGTCTAGGAGTCTATGAACCTACTTGAGGATCATCACAGTTCCCAGCAGCAGCAAACTTTGTCGAGCAGGAAACAGGTATATGGTGCATCTCCGGGGGTGATCTAGGAGGAAATAGAGGGATTCCTTCGTGCGAGATCTTCCGGGTAGTTTCGTGAGGAGCCAACTGTGTAATTTTAATATCTTACCCGTGTAGAGCATGCATCGAACTTACATGAATAGCCGGAGGCTTGTGTGTGAAAGATACGTTAAGAACCACAAGCTGAGTGGAAAGAGCTGAGGGCTTACAATATGGGCTAGGGTGGAGGACGTCAAAGGATGTCAAGACCGAATATTCAGAAAGACACACCAGACATGTGTTTCCCGCCAGTACACAGATGACCAGGAAGATGACCATAGGATAGGCATCTTGGAATGGAACCATGTTCTGATCCACCAGAGACATCCCTAGCGATTACATAGGTCCAGAACCATACATGCTAAAAGAAGCGACTTACCTGTGTTGGCCCATGCGCCTACCACTTGAAAGGCAGAGAACCTACGGCAGATTAGCACTAGGAACGGGATTAGCGGCGTCTACCTACCATACGGGGTTGATAGGCTTGTGCTGCAGAGGGACCTTGAAGTTTTCCGCCCACTTTGGAAGAGACATATACGGCGCTGTGACAACAAATGAGATACTGAGAAGGCCGATGTAGTACTGCAACCGGCATTTCGTCAGGAAACGGCAGGGCACCGCTCTTCGTCACTCACTGTGGGGATGATCCATGCCAAGGAGCTAAGCGCACGATATTCCACGCCGCCTAGCTCCTCGATATTCTCGGCAGAGAGGCCGTAGAACGCGGAGTTACGCTTTACGGTCGCGCTGAAGCTAAGGTACGGTACGCGTTTCACCGGCCCATCGGGTGCCGGGGCTAGTTCCGCTCCCGTTTGAGGTATAAGAGTTTCTGTCTTGGGTACAGTGAGGGTACGTTTCAAACGGCGCTGAAGACGGGGGAAGGCTCGATGCAAGACAGGTGTGAGAACCTCATGGATCCCAGGGAACCCCCCGAAGTCGTCCTCTTGCTGCGGGGGAGACTGGGGGAGCGCGACCACGGACGAGCGCAAGGACCGACGGCTGGCTGCGGTGCTCAGTGCGTCGACGCCGCTTGCCTCTGCGGACCTCTCGACGGCGAGCCTCGATGTGCGGATGCCCATGGGGTCGATAAGATGCGGGGCAACGTCGACTCTACGAATCATGTCCGTTCGCAGTCCAGTGTTCATGATGCCCCTCTGATTCGGCCGCTGGGAGGGATCTTCATGCGCCCGAGAAGGGGAGTCCATGCTGTTTCGGCCTTTGTCCTTCCTGAGGCGAGCAAGGGTTTCACGGATATGGCGCAAGGACGGAGGAACGTCCTGACTCGTCTGGGCGGTGTGGTCTCGCTTCATCTCAGCTGCGACGATATGTCGCAGGTTGCGCAGGAAATACCACCTACATGGGTAGTCAGTATTGTTTGTGAAGTTTCTGTCAAGGCAGACACACCTTCGCACCACAACGACTATCCAAGCAACGAACGCCTATCCTGAGTGAGCTATAGATCGTGAAGCCGCAAGCATAGACAACCGACCTGGTTCCCGATGAGTTCAAGGATGACCATCAACACTTGCTGCCAGATGGTGAGGGAGCTCAGGTCGACGGTGATAAGCCCAGTGCCGGTCGCGCCGCTGATACAGATGTACAACGAATCTATGAACTTGATCGGAAACTCGCCGTTGCTGGCCCACAGGATTGTGGCTCCCAATAGAGGGATGGTTGCGCTGGGGCGGGCTTTAGCCGGAACGTGAATAATATACAGCTTATTTGCACCCACAAGGCCAAAAAATGAAGCCGATAGAAGTTGAGACTCGCCCGAACATATGACCACAACATCTTCCTCGGCTAGAGTCCAGATCGGGTTGGCCGCGGCCGTTCGTCCCGTCTTGCCCCCCTCCGCAGACCGACTCAAAACAATACGCTGTCACGGCGAGTCGCAGTCGTTCCAGATGACACAGACACCAAAGGGATAAGCCAGAGTGTGCAGAGCGTGAGAGAGGGGTATATGGAAGCGACTGTTCGCGGTAAGAAAGCCACCGCGTTTGGCCACTCGCAAAAGCTTAATGCGCGCATAGAGATTGCCGCGATCACGTGATGATCATTTGACACTCATGCATTATCGTTCCGCATACCCCACCAAGAGTGAAGAGGGATTACGGAAGGCGCAGAGGAGTGCAAAACAGAGGAGATTCGAACAAAAGTGAGTCAGACTCGCCAAGAAGCGATGGGTTGTGTGGATGCCCAATCTGGACCGTTCATGGAAGCCGGCAGCTTGCGATCCTAACAAGCGCAAACAACCTCTCATCCCGCATTCCTATTCCGTCATCGTTGATTCGCTAGTGACGGTGCCTACTCACGCTCATCAGCATTTGCGAGGTGCTCAACCATCTTCTAGTCACGTTCTTCGGGATAATACAACACCTCGACCATTCGTACGTATTTTGTGCTGCTAGTATTCCCGTGCCGTTTGTATGTGTAAGCTGGAATCCAACCTGACAGCTTAACACTAGGCTGAGGAAGGACATACAAGTCTCCGTGCGAGTCTGATACTCTTAGGATACCTCGTGAACATCGCATTCTCGGCATAAATGCGCTCCATAGGATTTTCCGCCCCAGCTTACCGTGTACATGCTACACCCTCGCAACGGTGCTATCCCACGACACCCGGGGCCGCTGTACAAGGAACACATATCAACCGCCTACCTCAAGTTGGCCGTCAATGTATCACGATTACTGTGGAGTCGTGCCGCGAGTACTACACGAACCGCCGTCCGGGAGAAGAGAAGTTCTCCTTGAGATCAACTCGAGGCAGACGTGTTCGGCAAACCGGGCACGCTGAGGCAGCCTGGATTAGGGATGTGCTGACCCCGGGACCCCGAAAATCAGCAGCGGTTTCCCGCAGCAAATTCGCCATCGCTCTCTCTCAAGAACACAATCAATCGTCTGGATTTGCAGTCTCCTACAATGCCTGCCCAACATGGTGGCAGACTGCTGGGCCAGGAGGAAGTTCCCACGCTTTGACCCCCAGTGTCATCAGTCGCGCGCACATCCCTAGCATGGATGACAACCATGGGCGGATCGTTGCCGTGTGGTCAGTTCTCAAACAGTCCGCATTGTAGACAAATAAGCCCGCTTGCTGCATACCATATCTGGGCCATGTTACAGGAGTGCGCGGGTGATTGAAAAGGATCGCTTCGTCATGAATGACCATGCGGCCGTCAACGACAAAATGACGACAGTGGGATTCGAACCCACGCCCGTGAGGACCAGATACTGGTGCTGAACCTGATTCTGGCGCCTTAGACCGCTCGGCCATATCGCCACATACACGAAAGAACCGTGATATGTGGGAACACGCAAACCAACTCATAGTGTCAACAGGCTCAATGGACGACACGGTCATCACGATTCGATTCGCTTGGACAGGGAAGCGTCGACACTAGCTTGACCGTGATCCTTATGCTTCACGACCTACTTACGTCTCATGACCAGCAACCTGCGCAAAGCGAGGAATACTTCTGATGCCACGCGGTCAGCCACGCGCGACAAATGTGCCAAGCAACTCTCCACGACAGTACAAGCAGGTCAGGAGACTCAGATATGTTGTCCACCCGAAACAGCCCTGACAATTGTACCAGGAGCCTTTGGAACCGTCTGGCGGTCTCCGAAATACTGAGGGTTATTCTGGCCTGGGTGCCGTTCACGGCATCCGCAGAAAGCCAATTTGGCTGGACGGATAGCGCGGCTCAAGCTTGCCGTGCTCAGGTTGCAATCTGTCATTCGCCTATGATAGCCCAGCTGGCTGCGTTTGTATGAGCCTTCTACGCGCTTACACGACCTTTGAAAATATATGCAGAAGTATAGGGTTTTCTCTCCAGCGCCATCGTACGGTCCAGGCAACCGGAGGCTCCTGGCATAACCTAAAAGACTTGCTTTCACTCCAGAATGCACTAGTATGACTATCCAAGATGAATGACATGATCTATGGTGAGCACCGCAGCAATGTCGTATACTCCGGGGGATAATAACCCTTTACTAGCTTCTCGAAGAACTGTGTAACACATGGCCTGATTTGCTACCAATTTCCCAGTACGCTGACGCTCTCGCAAGCGGTTGCATGGAGAGCTACGCTTCTTGCGAGCTTGCATGAGAACCGGCGGCAGCGTGAACAATGCAGACATGGCAGTCCGGAGGGGAGACAGCCGGATAGCTTCAGAGCATAGGCATTCTCGCTTGTATGCTCTTCGCGGTCCCATGACAGGATCAGCGGAACCAATGCTGAGAAGTACGCCCTCCTGTGATTCGGACTCGCATGATTGGCTAACACATGAGCTACTACGACAGGCAAAACGCTATGCAGTCCGTCGTGCTATGACATACCCTCTCTTCCATCCTTGATGTGCGGGGGGTATCATCGGACCCGCGTTTCGTGACTTGTGGACATCCGGTAACTGCTGGGCATCTGGCCCGCGCGGTTGACGACCCCCTTGTCCTCCCGGTACGACCTAATATAGCGGCCCTTGTCGTATTTTTGGTATGTGCACTAGTAATCCTCGCGCCGCGATGCATGACTATCACCGACCCATCTCGTCGTCCCTATTCAGTTCCCCGCATTGTGCTGCGCGAGCAATGTGACCTCGCTTCATCTCCGTGTGTATTTCTCCTTCCCGTGTGATCCTCTCACCTTCATACGCTGGTCCGTGATTGCATCGCCGTTCTTCTCATGTGTCCTACCGCCTCCCGGACAACGCTCGAGCGCCGGTATGAGGGCGTGGGGCGATGTCACCCTACCTCGACCTGTCGTGCTTCGCCATGCACCCATCGCGGGGTATGCGCTGGCCGACTCCCGGTATATATACGGTCGAGCGTGTAACATCTTTCTAGAGGCCTTGCAGCTCTCGTTCCCAGCAGCATGTTCGTTCGAACGCTCTGCCTCATCCCTGCTCTCGTCGGGATTGTCCTCGCCGCGCCGTCTGTGCCGCGGAGCCCACCGACTGTCCAACTGGATCAGGGCACCTTCGTCGGGACGTCCGACGGGTCGACGAACAAGTTCCTGGGCATACCCTTCGCAAAGCCCCCGTATGTCGCTACGTACATTCCCTTACCCCCTCATTGCTGACTTGCATCAGGGTCGGAGACCTCCGCTTCAACCTCCCTGTCGCCGTCGACCCGTACACAGGGACTCACACTGTCACAACATTCGGACCGTCCTGCCCACAGCAGGCGATCAACTTCGACTTGCCGTCAGAGCTGGCTGAGGATGCGATCAACTTTATTGTGAACTCCATCTTCCAGCTAGTGTTCCCCTCGCAGGAGGACTGTGAGTTATGCGCTATGCGCTTTGTCCTTGTTCAGTATCTCATTGACCGCCGGTCTAGGTCTCTCTATAAATGTGATGGTTCCCGCTGGTACCAAAGCAAACGCCAAGCTTCCCGTCGTCGCCGTATGTGCTTCGTGCTGTCTATCATTGCAATCGCCGATTCTCACGTTGGGTCATACTTTCCAGTGGATCTTTGGCGGTTTGTTACTCTATGACGTTGTCTCTGGTAGGGTGGCTGACCATCGCTACCGCAGGCGGCTTCGAGCTTGGCAGCCCTTCGATGTACGTCGTTCTCTGTTTCGGGTAGTCGATCAAGTGCAAGTACTGATGGAATAGGCACTAGGTACGATGGTGGCAGCATAGTCAAGCGGTCCGTTGCACTCAACGAGCCGGTCATCTACGTGAGCATGAACTACCGGTCAGTCAATCACAATCCTTTTCGCCCATATTGACCTGTGCTGATGCACTCACCTACAGTGTCTCGGGTGAGAACGTCATTCTACTCAGGCATTGCATGCCACAGTACTGACGGAGACCAAGCGTACGGCTTCCTGGCGAGCAAAGAAGTCAAGGACGCCGGGATAGGAAACCTGGGCATGCAGGACCGTCAGTGCCCACTCACCTCCCTTCTCAGCGGAGGCATCGAGATGACCGAGCTTAACTGGCACTAGAACGCCTCGCGTTGCAATGGATACAAAAGTACATCGGCGCTTTCGGCGGCGACCCCACGAAGGTCACCATGTGCGTTCTCACCGAGTGGAGCCGGCTCCCCCTCTCCCTCTCCCGCTGACGCGACGGCCATGGTAGATGGGGTGAAAGCGCGGGCGCGATCTCCGTCTCGCTGCACCTGCTCGCGAACGGCGGGGATCCACAAGGGCTGTTCCGCGGCGCGTTCATGCAGTCCGGCTCGCCCATCCCCGTCGGCGACATCTCGCACGGCCAGGCGGACTACGACGCGATCGTCGCGCAGACGGGGTGCGCCGGCGCGGCGGACACCCTGCAATGCTTGCGAGGCGTCCCGTTCGATAAGCTCAAGAAGGCGGTCGACGCTTCCCCGGGCATCTTCGCCCCTCAGGTGCGCGGGTGTGTGCTAAAGCGACCGCGAGCGTGTGGGACTCACTCTGCGGACAGTCCTTGCGGCTGGCGTGGCTGCCTCGAGTGGATGGCAACTTTTTGCCGGATACACCACAGAACTTGGTACAAAAGGGTAGCGTTGCGAGCGTCCCTTTTGTCACTGGAGTACGTCCGTACGATGTCTTGCGAGTGCGCTGTCTAATGGAGTGTGTGGCAGGATTGCGACGATGAGGGGACGCTGTTCTCGCTCTCAACCCTGAATATCACGTACGCTCCCTCCGCCTTGATGCTGGATCCCCCGTTGATTAGTTCCATCGACAGCACGGAGGACCACCTCCGCGACTACATCCTGAGCAACTACCTGCCTCAGGCTTCAAACGACGAGGTCAACCAAATCCTAAAGCTGTACCCCGCGGATATCGTCCAGGGTTCCCCGTTCAATACCGGGATCCTGAACGCGCTCACCCCGCAGTTCAAGCGTCTCGCGGCGATGCAGGGCGACCTCGTCTTCCAGGCACCGCGCCGCTTCCTCTTGCAGCACCGCTCGGGCCAGCAAGACACGTGGTCTTTCCGTGAGTCGCTGCAGCGCACCTTCCTTGTTTTGTGACTGACTGAGAGTCCGCAGTCAACAAGCGGCTGAAAGGGCTGCCAGCCCTCGGTGCGGTAAGCGCCCCGGACTCTCCCAGTCAACGCCCAGAATAGCTGACGTGCGCACGGAATAGGCACACGCGACGGACATCCTGAACGTGTATGGCGGCGGCGAGCTCGCGGACTACCTCATCAACTTCGTCAACCACCTCGACCCGAACGGGAAGACGGTCGCCTCGTGGCCCAAATACACGACAGCCTCGCCGCAGCAGCTCACGTTCCTCGACGGCTTCGTACCGACGTCGATCACCAAGGACGACTACCGAGTGGACGCGATGAATCTGATGACGAAGCTCTCGTTGTCCTTCCCGCTGTGAACAGGGCGCTCGTGCTGCATGCCAATGACAGTGCTGGTGGGATGACGATGGCACTTGATGACCAACTTCTTGCACGACTGATTTCTTGGAAGGATTTTGACGACACTTCTTCTTATTCTATATGTATAAGCTGTGAGCAATCAATTTTGCTGTGTACTGCAATTGACAATGCCTCTCCTTCGTAATGGATGCGGGATACGAAGAGCGTGGTGATAATCGAGGCCACAGGCTTCAAGATTGACAGTCATGCGAATGCATGAAAGAATACTGAACAGCCAATAGACGGGGTGGATATGATTCAAACAGTATGGGCTTACAGATACAAGCGTATGATAGCTCGGGGCCTGGGGAAGGGACAGAGAGCACCAACAGGGAAACAGAACGGCGAGGGTCAAAAGTCAAAAACGGACGAAAATGGTGTGCAGGAGGCGAAGGCTTTCTGTCCAATAGCTGCGGGAGTCAGAACGCGGACCCAGCATCGTCGTCGGCCTCACATCGCGCCCATGGCGATGCCCTGGAACGCTGTGCCCACTCGCGCGGGCTGCGCGGGTGTGTGCGCCTGCGGAGGCGGGTTCATCTGCAGCGTCTGCTGCCCGGCGGCGAACAGCGGGAGCGTCTTCTCCTCGAGGTCGGCGTAGTGCACGGTCATCTCCTTGCGGGCCTTCTCCCACAGGTCGGGGTCCCAGTACGAGTACGTTCCCTGCTCGCCTCCGGGCACCTTCTGCGATGGCTGCGTGCCGGTCTCCTTCGTGAGCCACAACCGGAGCTCCTTGTGGTACCTCCAATTCCGGTTATATCTGCGAAGAAGTTCACGTTGCCGCCGCGACAGAGACGATGCGGATGATGCACGTACAGTTCTTGCGCAGCAATCTCCTGGAGGGCATCCCGGGGGGACGCATAGAACATGAAAAATAGTGTCTCGTCGCTGAATGCTGCAACCTTGTTCGGCCCAGGCGGAGGTGG